AGTCAACACTAGCTGCTGATGTCCTGTCAAAGATGACAAATACTTGTATGATGAGTTCCATGTTCCTCAAGTGAGCCTTACACCCCAACAGCTCGCTCAGGATGTAGCTACAGCCCTAAAGTCATACCCAAGATCATATCAGCATCTTCAGCAGGCACACAAAACAAAGCAACTTCCTCCAACAATCCACAAAAACACTGTGTTTAGTCATGCCTTCAACTTCATCATTTAGAGTTTACTGACCCATATTTAAAAGGATCAAAAGTGAAACTGCTGTTTTCTGACCAGTGCACAGCAGAAGGGGAGGGTCAGACTTCCTTCCAGAAGGAAGTTTCCTGCCTGAACACCAATCCCTGTGAGGTCTTCAGCAACTTCTTGAGTAGCACAAGCACAATCAAGTTCAGAATACAAAAAGATGTCACATAATGTTTCTTGACAATACTCATCTGTCTTGAGTTAACTTAACTTGACCCTGTTCCATGGAGACCACACTGAATGATGTCAGACAAGCTCATCTTAGTTTGGCTTGTTTTTTTCCTGTAAACCAACCAGCTTCTTAAATTTCCTCACTACAGTGACGAAAGATCACAAATAAAAGCTTAACACAAACAGGTGTCTTCCAGAAAAAGGGCTTTGGTCAGACACTGAAGCGTTTACCAAATTAAAACTATTCTGCTGAATATAACATTTCTTAAAACCCTTACATATCTTAGCACATTTAAGTATTACTGAAGACAGAAGATGCACCTATGTGACTAGTGCCAAAGAGCAACTGCCATACAAAAAAACAGCAAAATATTCCACTTCTGTACCTATGCTGTCTGAGCCTTTAGTTTAAGTATCAATAACTAGCTTAATAATCTGGCCCTTTTTAGTCACTTTCTATAACTGAAAATATTAGAAAGTAAGAGGATGTTATCTGTAGCCATGCCTGAATCATATCAGTGCACCTTACATCCTAGGGAGATCAAGCCCATTTCTCATTTTTAAACTCCTTGCTTTAAAATAACTAAATGAACTATCAATAGGAATAGTCAAATAACCACAGGATTTTTAGCCATACTTACATCAAAATTAAGGTTTCTTAACTTACTTTCAAAAATCATCTTATGAACTATAAGAAGAATGGGGAAGTCTATTAGATACAGAAAAATCTGAACCAATTTACCCCAAAGTGTTTAGTCTTCACAGAGTATTTTTATGGAGTTTTACCTTTTGTCCAATAAAATGTATTTGTAAGTAGGACATATTAGAATGACAGAACAGTTAGGATTGGAAAGGACCTCTGGAAATCATCCAGCCCAAACTTCTGTCAAGGCAGGGTCACCTGGAGCAGGTGACACAGGAACACAGCCAGGGTCCAGAATGTCTCCAGAGAGGGAGAGTCCATGACCTCCATAGGCAGCCTGTTCCAGTGCTCTGCCACCCTCAATGTAAAGAAGTTCTTCCTCATGTTAAGGTGAAACTTCTTGTGTTTTTAGTTTATGGCCATTGCTCCTCATCCTGTCACTGAGAACCACTGACAAGTGTCTGGCATCAGCCTCTTGGCACCAGACTTTGAGATATTTATATGCACTGGTGAGATTCCCTCAGAATACTGGGAATTATACTACATCAGTAGACTTTCTACAAACTGGTTCCATAAACCAACCATCAATGCTAAGATTCTGATTTAAAGCACATCCAGGTGCCCTACTGAGCACTAGCCTACCCCAGACAAAAGTGTAGTCGTTCTAGGAGAGAATTTAAGACTTAGTCCTATTCCCTCAAGCTTTTCTTTCTTGCTTTACCAAGGACAGCTGTGTTTAAATATCTGGTGGTTTCCTAGCATAATGGCAGTGAAAAACCTCTTTGCTGCCACCACAAAGCATTAGCTATTTTAACTGGCACGTGCACAACAGAACTGCAATGTAGCAGAAAAACACGAAGCCAAGGTTTACTATCACATTTTAAAGGACAGATGGACAGAAAGGGGCTTTCCAACTACATTTTTTAAAAATAAGTGAACAGAAAAATCATAGCAAGTTAAAGTGAGCACATAAACACTTGCAAATTTTAAGGCAATGGAAGAAGGGAATAAAGAAAAATATACAAGAAAATAGCAGAAGCTGTGAAATTTAGCAGTCCTACATCTCTCTGCACAAACAAGTTTTTTCATGTCCTCGTGAAACCAGAACACAGGCTGTGGAGAGCTGTGCAGGATTTAGCCCCAAATCCCTTTTCCTTCTCCTCTGCTAAATACACATCTTGATCACCCACCAGCACCAAAAGTTACCAGTACTTTCTTCAGAGATCTGCTGCTGAAAACAACCAGTCAATTCCCTCAAACAAACTGCTCTGAACAGCAGCTCCAGGGAATTGACAGCAGGTGCCAATAGCTGTCAGAACATTAATTCCATACCAAAACCACATGAACAAAGCATGAGAACAGAACTCCTAAGAGGGGAAACAAACATTCATGGCATTAAGGCATACAGTCAAGGAAATCTGATTATTCCACCTGCAGGACAGGGTTGGTTGGAGGGTTTTTACTTTTTTTAGCCTCAAAATGAGTATAAGCTAACTTTAATACCACGTCCAACAGTTTCAAACTAAAAATTAAAGTCCCTGTGAAACATGTCTGTGTACTAGCTTCAAAGTGCTCCTTTTCACCCTTTCTAAGAACTAAACCATATTTGACAGCAATATCAGACTTTTTATCTTCATTCCCAGATGGTAACCTGGGTTTGCCCCGACACTTGCATGCAAAACCTAATAGAGCATGAAGCTGCAATTTTTCATATATACCTGTGAAAAGTATGTGTTGCAGAAAAGCTGTTTCCTATTGAAATCACTTTCCCAGCTTTTCATCTGGTGATGAAAATACCCTTGAAATACCACCACCATAAAACATGGCTTTGGAAAAGGCAGTTCTCTGCTGTGCCTTCGCTTAAGCATAGAATTACAGGGAGCACAAGCGAACTCTCCAGCCAGTGCACTCAGCTAAAGTTCATTCTCTTAAGTACATCAACTTCTTGTTTGCTTGAAGACGGTGACCATAATGTCAAGGTCACTTTTAGGTCTTTGAAGGGAGTGTCAGCCTTCAGCCTGCTACAGATCAGGCACTAAATACAAACAGGAGGAATTTTACTTTAAGCCCTTCTTTAAGTGGTACCTTTCTTTTATACAAGCAGAAAAGAGTCAAAAATAACATGTAGGATTTAAATTTACAACCTTATGGCCTACAATGCATGGTGATGTTCAGCCAAATCACGCTAACATAAGCTTGCCATATTATCATCCTGATACTCTGCCTACTCAAAAAGCAGATCCCCCTTTCAAGTGAAAATTAAGGCATTACCTCTTTAGGACAGAAAACCACTTGACCAGTGCTGTAGTCAGGGTTTTCCCCTCAAAGGTTCTTGTGCAATTCCAGTACGGAAATGGAGCTATAAATACACTGAAGGGGCAGCTACATGGAAAAAAAAAGTTGGCATATTAAGAGACTGATTAATGAGATTGATTTAGGAGGGCAAACTCTGTCCATTTACAGACTGCACCCTTCACAGGATTTAAGAGTTTGAGCAGAAAATTTATTAAATGTCTTTAGAAATATGAATACTGCTCTTAATTCCTCCACACTGGTAAAGAGGTATCCTGTGAATACACACACACAAACATGGAGAATTGGCCAAGAATACAGTCCACGTCAAATTTAGGAGGGAAGCAGAACCCTGCTATGACCCATCGGATGTTCTCTTTCCTTCACACAAAGAGGATTTTTAACATTCAGAACCAGAGAACAGGCTACCCCAAATACTGGCTTTTAATTTAAATAGAGACTCATTTCACAAATTTCCTGTCATTAAAAAAAAAGCCCAGAACAGTTTTTCCAGAAGAGACTGTTAATCGCTAACAGACAAAAATAACATGGTCACATTAAGATCTGTACTGACAGATCCTCAAATAAATCTGAAGTAATAAATCTGAAATAAAATTTCTGATAAATCTGAAATAATCTGCTTTAAAAAGGAGAACACTGGGGGAAAAAATGAAGAAGAAAGAAAAGAGAAAAAAAAAAAAAAGGCCCAACATTTTGTCCCAATTACACAGATGCCACGATACAAGCCGGGTGCCAATGGGAAAGGGCTCAGCCAGCAGCGATGACTCCTGGCATCACCCATCCCTCCTACGTGACCTGACAGCCTCCCCGGCGGCCCCGCAGCTCCGCTGTGCCCGGTCATGGAATCTGCCCGCTCAGCAAACGCGCTCCATTTTCTTGCCAGCAGCGCGGTGTCCGCTCTGCCGCAGCCCCTGCGAGCGCAGCCACTAGTGAGCAACAGCGGGAACAACTTCGGGAAAGACACAGGCGCTTCTCTCACAACTCCCTCCTCTTTTTTTCCCGGTGCGGAGAGCAAGAGTAGAGTTACCCCCGCCCCAGCGGGAGCGCTCCCGGGGCATCCCCGGCTCCCGCCGTCTCCGGGCCACCAGCTCCGAGTGCAATCCCGCCGGGAGCGGCGCGGAACCGGGGCAGCCTCCGCCCTCCTTGGGATCGGGCACCAGCCCCGGGACAGCAAGTGTTTACGTTTAAAAATACATATATACCGAGCCCGGACCCAGAGGGAAGAGGGGAAAACTCCGCCCCCTCCCTTGGAAAGGCAATAAAAGCTGGGCTGAAACATCTGACCGCTCAGCGCCCCTTTTTTAAGGAGGAAAAGAAAAAAAAAAGAAAAAAAAAAAAAAAAAAGAGGAATTGAAGATATGGGAAAATAAACGCTGGGGAAGCGGCAAGGACGTGGCGTGCAGAAGTCTCGGCTGGAACGGGGAGGCGGCCGGGAGGGCGGCTCGCCCGGGCCCGGCCGGGAGGGATCGCGCGGGGAGGCCGGGCCGGGCCGGGCCGGGCCGGGCCGGGCCGGCGGGAGCGGGAGGCGAGCGCAGAGCTCCGGCGGGAGAGAAGTGGGGCAGGGAGGAAGGGAGGGAGTTAGAGGGAGCGCGGCCCGCGAGTGGGAGAGGGCACTCACGTAGCGTTTCAACTTCTTCTCCGGCGGGGACTTTCGGAGCCAGCCCGAGCAGACCACCTCCCCGCCGCTCATGGCTGCGCCGCTGCCCGCCGGGGCGCTCCCTCCGCCTCCTGCTCCTTCTCTTCCTCAGGCAGCGGACACAGGGAGCCGCGATCGGCGGCGGCGGCAGCACCGCGCCCGGCCCGGCCTCCCGGGGCTGCGGGATTAGGGGCGCAGGGTGTATGTGTCTGTCTGTCTGTCTCTCTCGCACAACAGCCCGCCGGAGCGGAGCGGGGCGGCGAGCGAGGCTGAGGCGGGAGGGTTCCTCCTGCCTCCTCCTCCTGCTCCTCCTCGCCGCCGCCGAGTTACACGGACATCGAGAGAGACGACAGGGGCGGCCACCACCCCGCCGCAACTTCGGCGTCCCGGGGCGGGATTCAGGATCCAGCCACCGCCCCGAGCCGGTGGCGCCTCCTCCGCTTCGCTGGGACCCTCCCGCTGGGCAGGGCCGCGAGGGACTCTCTCCCGCCCGCCTCTCCAAGCTCAGCGCCGGCCGCCGCGGCTCCCCGGTGGCTCCTTTCCCTTCTTCCTCCTCCCACTGCGCCGGGAGGAGGGGATCGGCAGCACTCCTGCCTTCCCTTCCTCGCCTTCTCCTTCGCGGGGAGTGGCGGGGCGGGGGTCTAGCCCCGAGGCTGGGGCCGTGGCCCGGGGCTGAGTCCGCTCCCTGCCAGTCAGTGAGGGAAGGCTTTGACCTGGAATTCACGGCACCGTGTCGCCCCCGAGCCCCCCTTCCCCCGGCGCCAAGCGGCGGTGCCGCCCCGACCGGCCCCGCCTGCCCCCGCCCAGTGCCGCGGCTCCCCCCGACACTGCCGGAGCCTTTTCAAACAACAAGGGCTCGGACGCAGGGTGGCAGGGAAGTAGGCAGGGAAGGACGGACGGCCGGCGCTTCCAGAGGGATCCTGGGAGCTGTAGTCGGCGGCCGCTGAGAACTGCGGCGGCGCGGCCGGGAGCGGAGCGGAGGGGACGGGGGCGAGGGACGGGCTCGGTCCCTACGAGGAAAACAAATAAACAAACAAAACCCCAAGCAAGAAAACAAACAAACAAAACCCAACCTAAAAATCCCAATTAAAACTGCATTAAAAATAGCGCGGCCTAAGTAAATTCCTCTTAGCAAGTCTGAAACTGCCGTAGCAAAAAAAGGAAAAAAAAATTTATTATCCAAGTCGTTCACCATCTCTGCTGTGGGTGCTCTCTGTCTCTTCCACTCTGTCAGAAAAGGGTTAAATAAGTAATAACAAATAAATTAATAAATATGGTCAATAAATAATATATTCTTAAATAAATAAAAAGAATAATACACTTTTAACAAAAATAGTTATAATTTTTTTAAACAAATTTTTTTCAGATTACTAAATGGCAGGTTCTGGAATGGGATTGCTGCTGTCTTGTCTAGCCCCAGTGATCTTCCACTGCAGAGAAACAGTCCCTCTAGTGTGCCTTGGCTGAAGGGAGCCCAACGATGCTACCATTTATTTAGGTATAAGTGTATTAAAAAGTTACAAAGCAGTGGTTGTAGCATATAGGGGCATTTGAAGAAATAACAGGAAAAAATAAAGGAGAAAGGCTGAGGTGTTAAAATCTATGCATCAATTTCAATATGAATCTTTTTACAATAATTATGACATTATGAAGCAATATTAAGCACTACAAGAAAGAACGTCAAAAAGATATTTTGCCAAAAGCATTTGAAATAAGAAAAGAGGTGAACATCGGCCTTTAGCAATATTCAAAGCACACAAATCCGAGCATTCAAACCATCCTTGCATGAATTTCTGCACACCATTTCAGCTTCCTCAGCGGGGCTTGGTGGAAACAATAAAATGTGATTTGGTTGGTAAACATGAACTCAAATTGTACTCTTAGGTTTAGATTTCAAGCTGGGTTTCAGTGCAACTCTTTTGTTTAAACCACTAATGCCGTTGTTTAATAATCTTAACATTTGAGATTTTCCAAGTGCCAGATAAGACCACAAAATTTTCCAGTTTCCTTTAGAACCGTGGAGACGATTTAGTGTTTAGAACATGTGGAGTCAGTGTGAACTAACTAAAAATGCCATTGGCACTAGGGCATTGTGACGTGATCCAATGGTTCATTTGAATCCCATTAAATAACCCATGCCTTGAGAGCCAATTAAAGAAAGCTTGTTTTGGCTTAAGCAGTCTCCATGGAAGCAGCAACCAAACAAGTTATCTGGTCCAGACACACAAGATTGTCCCTGAGGTCAAATTTCAAAACATTATATTTGTGTTCTAAAACATGCTGAAACCAGTGTCAGCCTGGACTCCAGCTTTTGTGTATTTGTTTATCAGTTTTTTGAGGGGGTTTCATCCCTGTCATGTAATGATAAAACATACATTAGGGGAAAAGAGTTAATGTCATAGTAATGAATAATAAACAATAAAGCTTGCCTTTTAGACCGTACTTAGTTGTTGAGCCTAGTCACAAGCCCCAAGACTGGACATAAAATGTCTTTATTGCATTGTGGAACTGAAGAAAACATAATACAGCAAAGCACAATTTCCAAATGTTAAGATGTTGTCTCACGGACTGCTCCTTTCCTAGTCATGGAAGTGGATTTCCTTTTGTGCTCTCATTTGAGCTACTCATCCATAGTCCCACTAGTGCAGTTACTTACCATCTCAGGAGACGGCTGCACAGAGCTGTACCTCTCTTTCCAAGTTAGTGAACAGCTGGAAAATCCAAGAATATTAATTCTGTGCATTTCTGTGAATATCCAGCAGTGTTCCACAGTTCATAATATAGACACCCTGTATTAGGGTAAACTGAAGAAATTAAGGCTAATGAAATGCATAAAGAGCACAGTATTTCAATCTGACTCTTAGCACCTGCATATTTATAACTGTAAAACTGTCTGTGAAGAGAGTGGTGAAATAATTAGACTAGTATAATTTTCAATATAGAAAAATTTTTACACTTGGACAGTTTAGGCTAGGGCATAATTTCCTGAACTTAAGGATAAAAATCACAAAGACCTCTGTCAAGAATAGCTGTTTGAGCTATACTTCTGTCCTGAAAGTTTAAACAACATTAAGCATGCCCCATTTTGAAATTCTTCTGCGATACAACTTGTGCTTGGAAGAACCAAACTCCCTTCAGGGCTTGAAGGACTGTAACCCTATGTCAGGACATGATCACCCTTTCCCCTCACTTTGTTCCCTCAGGTTATTTCTGTGCTGTTCCTTGGGAAGCCTGGAAGATAAAGGTGTTTCAAACTCAATTATTTGCACTACAGAGGTCTTTGGTATTTGAGTACAAGGCCTTTGAGGAAGAAGAGAGAAAGAAAGAGGATTTTTTTTCTTGGAGGAAAAGTTATTTTTCCTGCTTTTAAGAAGAATGTTGCAATGACAGCAGAGCAGCTCAAGAAGGGAGCTCTGAAGGGATCCATCCTCTCTGCCTGCAGTGCCAAATCCTGCTAGAGGATTGGGAATGTTGGGAATGTTGCCATTCCTGGATCCCACATAGCCATTGCCATCTGAAACAGTCCCTGTGCTGTGACTGGACATTGTGACCAACCTGCAGCGCACACAATGCTCAATAAAGTACACTTTAACCAGTGAGGTGATGCCATGGTCACATGGAATGTGATGACTACACACATGCAGTCACGGTGCTGGTGCTGCCTCTCAGTTCAGGAAGCACGTGCAAGATGCCTTGATTCCTCCACTGAACTTGTGTTCTTCCACAAGTGTATTCCCATGGGTTTAAATGGGTTCTCCAAAATTCTAGAGTATACTATTTATATATCTTGCCAGATAAAGTAGGTCATGTGGAAATCTATTTATCTCTGGTTTGCTTGCCAAGTTGCCTTGATGAAGGAAGGAGGAGCTGATAGAAGAGGAGATTAAATACACATGGGCTTGCTTTCAAAAAACATAAATGATGCTAATTTCTCATGCAAATAGCTTAAGAATTCTGGACTTGTATAATAAGATAGTGCTCACTACAGTACCATCTTTGTGTTATACTTCTAGTATGAAAACCTATGCATTCCTCTCTGCTTTCACCTTGCAGTCACAGACAGCTGCAGCTCCTGATAGTGATCCCTAAACTCCTCTATGTCCCTTGCTTACATTTGAACACAAAATTTGTACTTTGACAAAAAGAGAACCAAAGGTCTAATTAAAAGTTATAAATTATTTTAACAAAAAATTTTGCATGTCAGTCTATATCCCGAAACATCTTTAGGTGTTTATGCAACGATGAATCAGTGAAAAAAAAGAAAGATTCTTCTAAGTTTGCAAAAATCTGCATTTATATATTTCTTTTAATCTCAAATACTTCCATTTTGATTTCAAAATTATTCCCAGGTAAATTTAATCTATGTAGTTGTTTTGGTCAGTTTGTGGATGATGTTATTTACTGTTTCTTTCAGACTGTAGTTATTTAGATTATTTGGCAAACAGATTGAGGAAAGTAATGCAAAACAGACATAATTAAAAGAGATGACTGTATGTCCACACATTTTAGAGTTGTTTACTGGTTGTTAAGCTACCTCATCTCTTTTCTGTGATTACTTTTAATATTGATGTACACAAATAAAGGCAAGAGTATACTGCAGAACTCATACAAAAAAAAGGAGCCATTTTTAGTTCTGCGTAGGTGCAATACATTGAGATTTCCTTTGTGTATTCTGTGGAAAACTCTCATTCCTGATTCTGGAGTGGAAATTCACTGGTAAATGTTCGTCCTCTGCTTTTTCACTAGAGGATCAGTTGACAACCTTATTTCATGCAAGGGAATTTCCCCTTTTTTCCTAGACTAGTCAAGGAAGAAGGAGCAGGCTGGCTGATTGGCCAGCCATGTAGAAACTTCCTCAGGTCTATGCTATTAAAAAATTAAGCGGAAGCTTTTCCCTCCATAAGGACAATACCTTTGCACTTATGTACTGAAAATGTGTGGACTTTTTCTGTCATAGGAAGCATTTTACAAGTTCAGCACAATGGAAACTTAATCATTCAGCCACCTTAGGCTTGGTCTTGTACCAGAAATAAGAATTATTGTAGACACGATCATGTTTCCAGGAAAGAAAGTAATGTATGGTCATATGAGAGACAAGTACTCCAAAGCTGTACATAGTCAAAAGACATACCAGCCAGGCTCTCTGGTTGAGTATGGTTTGTCCTCAAAAAGCACAAGGGGGAATTTGTATTGAACACCTCCCAGAAGAAAAATTTATTGCAATGTAGAATCCTGGGGAACAAGTTAAGTCTAAGAGACAGCAAATATGGTAACACTGCAGGCTGGTGGTTTCTGTTACTGCTTTAAAAATAGTAGGCTCATATCAGAGAATATTTTGGCTAGAGAGCCATTTTATACGATGCAACAATTTCAATAATTCTGCTTACAATGCAAGTGTAATAGTAAGATATATCAACTAGATGTTATGCTTTTTCTTATTTTTCTTTGTCTGAATCTCCATGCTTAAACAGTTCATTGCAACTGGAATTTTGAAAGTAAAGTAGGGAAACGAAAAGATTACCTAGAAATATCTGAAGGGAGAAGGAAAATTGTCTGAATGCCAGACAAAGTTAAGGGGTGTTCAGCCAGAGCTCTTCTCTTCCCCTAAGAGATTAATCCAAGAAAAATGCTCGGTGTTCCCAAATTTCAATTATTAAAATATTTAAACCAAAATTGAGTTGGATGTCTTGGAATAGTTTGATACCCAGTGGGAACAAATATTCAAACCCAAG